AGGACTGACCCCTGGGGGACACCGCTACCCACAGGCCTCCAACTAGACTCTGCACCGCTGATCACCACCCTCTGAGCTCTGCCATCCAGCCATGACACTGGTGTTAGAACTGGTGAAATGACACTGGTGTTAGAGCCATGACACTCGTGTTAGAACTGGTCTGAGCTGACATCAGTGTACCTTATATGTAAGGATTACAAGCCCATATTCTGTGATTGGATTGTATTTGAGAGTCATATGTTAGGGCAGACATAAGGATTTCCTGAATTTTTACGTTAGTAATTTTGGGAAATCAAAAGATACAGAAAATAGCAGCATACAGTATTTTTCATTGGAAACAATGAGAAACAGACAAAATTAATTGGATGTGTTTGGTAATAATATTCTTTCTAGAAAAGTAGCCTGTGCCTTTGGTGTTACAGATGGTCAGTTGGAGAGGAGGAGGAAGTTCAATATGCCTTAGACATCTTTACAGAGTGAGAATAGTTTAAAATGAAAATGAAAAATAGAGCTGCTAATAGTCCATCGTATTTTGTGAGCTGTGATCATTGACAACATTCCTGATGTCATCTCTGTGGGCGGCCAAGTCCATTTTTGCACCCGAACAACAGGCAACAATAAGCAAAACTATGTTGGAAGTTAGCAGAACTTTTTTAGGTGTTTCTAAACATCAGAAATTCTTGTCTTAAAATGCAGGCAGACTTTTATAAGCACAAGGAGAGAGCATATCACCAGTCAGTATTATTTTTTTAAAGAAATAATTAATTACACTGTTGTAATACATTGCCTTAGTGAAAGGGTGTTTTGTAACTGCTGAATGTGATTGCTAATCTACTGATACTTCAGCTTTCAGAAGAAAAAAATAGTCTTAATTTAGTTATGAGCACACCTTTATAAATGCTGCCGTTGCTTACGGGAGCAGCACCCTGCAACAGGCAGAACAACTCAGATCTGTGAGAGCAAGGAAGAGAATTCCAAGACCTTGCCCACCACTCACTGCTGCTGTTGCATTCTTGTTTTTTTGATTGACAATGCAATGGCTTTTGTCATGTCAAACATTCTCTGTCTCTCTCACACGTGCATGAAACTCAGTGATAGGTCAAGGTTGATTTAATTTTTATTGTGGCATTACTTCTTTATATGTTTGTGTATATTTATTGTGACCCAAAGTGTCTGTAGCAGCTTTTGGGTTGCAATATTAACTCAAATATAACTTATCTTAAGACACTGTAAATAATGAATTTCCTACATAGTTTTTTTTTTTTTGTGTCTGTCTACATTTGGGGAAATTTTTAATGGTTTCTATTTGATTTTAAAAGTTCAACTAAAAGGGATATCAACAGTTTTGATTTTTGAATCAGTTTAAATGTCAACAGTGCACTGTAGCCAATGCTGTCAGTATCATCCTTGTGACAATAACATTCAGATCATTTGGTTTCATTTTTAGTGTGTAAGGATAAGAAAAAGCAACTTCTCGCATAGCTGTTAAAGTTGTAGTACCACTCAAAGTATTTCTGTTTTAAAGATTTTTGTGGCTTGAAGCTGAATTAGCAGGGTGGTTATTTTTTTGACTTTTCTTACATGAAACAATTAAATAGCTTTAGTTGTTAAAAGATCATTTGAGGTTCTCGACACAGCTTTCTAATATTCCTTACTGCCTACATAGCAGTTTTAGCTGCATGTTTATAGCTGCATAATCTTGTTTCAGAAAAATAAATGACTGAAAAGTGTACTTATCATTTTTTCTCCTTTTTGGTAACACCTTTTCATACACTGACAGTTATTGTGAATGCATGAAATAAAACTGTTAATCAGTCAAACAAATGCAGCGTAGTTTACTTGTTAAATATCTGTATATTTGTAAATTGTATGTTTTGTATAAATCTTGTCGTAGCCAAATAATTTGATCTCCCCATATTGGAATCACCTCCTATATTATTTGTTAAATGCTGTTGTGATCATGTACTACACACTGTAACTATATACCCCAGAATTAGGTGCTGCTTTAAAAATCCTGAGTCTTCCCCTTCTAACCAGTTTGTGTGAATATTTAAGAAACAGCTACATATAGAAAAACAGCAGCAACACGGTTTGTTTTGGGGAGAAGGGTGTTTAGTTGTTAGGTAAAAGCAGCTCTGAGCAGGCTGCGAACAACCAGTTTGGGCGCAAAGATGTAACAGAAGGAGAAATAGATTAAGATGGAGCTTTTCAATGAGAGAAAAAAAAAAGATAGCTGCTTTTTATGTTTAACATCATTGCGATCTGACACTTTATTTGGGCTCTTCACTTTTTTTTTCTTTTTTTTTTCCTTTTTTTTTTTTCTTGTTTCAGAGGCCTACAGCATTTTCCAGGAAACGAAAGAGAGCAGAGAGTTTAACTATCGTACTTACATCATATTAATAAAAGCACTGTTGTCACAGGGTCTTATTGAAGAAGCCATGCAAGTAAAACACACGTAAGACTCTTCTTTTTTCATTTTGGATTTTTTAATTGTCTTTATTTTTGTTATTATTCATGTAATATGTAATATTATGTAATATTTTTATGTAATAATTACTGGATCGATTTCAGGTAAATCCTAATCCTTTAAAAGGCAAATGTCCCATGACTGGGAGCTAGACATTTTGCTAGGAAATACACCTACACTTCATGGGACAGTTTTTTAAATCAAAATAAAATAATAGGGGAGTGGCAGTATGTACTGCCAATAAACCATTTCAGCTAGCAGTATCAACAGGTTGGCTTGGCATCAGAACTGGACATGTATCCTTGGGATGTCTTCCTCCTTCCCTGTAGAGCAGTACCCAAATGGACAAGATTCTTGCACTTAACGACCCCTAAGCTTTCCCCTCAGCCCACATTGCTGCTCGTAGTCTGCCCTACGCAATTCTAGAACATCTTGGTAATGCAGGGAAAGATTCTTCAAAGAAACTTCAAACTTTCTATCAAAGGCTTGTGCATGTGCTGGATGTTTCCATGCTCATCATCTCCAACAGTCCTGTAAGGAAGATGTGCAAAATATCACAGGTGTTACCAGCAGCAATTTGCAGTTTGAAAGAGTAGAGAAAGTAGTAGTTTGTTTCCAGTGTTCTGGTGAATCAGAGTTCCCACTACAGCTGATAAGAAAAATATTCTTTAATATCTTCATGTAAAGTGAAACGGGGAGATTTGAGGACTAAATAAAGTTTGAAGTGTGTTTTTAAGGACTGGAAATATACCTAAGAAACGTCAAGATATTTGAGGAAAATGCAAAATTTCTATTCTTCATCACTAGTCAGAGCCAACCGTAGTAGTGCCTTTGTGCTTTTCAAAACACTCATATGCGTAGAGCACAGAAATGCCAAATAATAACATTCTAAGAAGCCTGCAGCAGTTTGATTTCACCTGTAAAGAGAAGACAGAGCATTCTTAATATAGGTAGTGTTTATGGTGTTTATTTGTGTATCTGTTTTCTTGTAAGTCATGCTTACATTAAGCATTTTGGAAAAAAATAACTTTGAAGTTTTAAATTATTCACTTTATATAAACTGATTGCGTGTAATTAAGCATTTTGGAAAAAAATAACTTTCAAGTTTTAAATTATTCACTGATTGCGTGTGTACATACAGATGGGGAAAAGCAAATCTGTGTGTTTCATACATATTTCTGTATGCTTGACAATTTTACCAACCTCACATTACAAAGAGATAACTCCTACAAAGCCTAAATGTGTGCAGTGGCCTGAAACTTGTGCAACTCCTAATATTTTCATAAAATATATGAAAGCTACCTTCATTTGTGTAAGCTAACATCTTTCTCTTTGTACTCTGCTTGAAGCCAAACTTGAGATTTAAATAATATTTGGAGAGCCTGAAGGTGTTTTATTAGCAGAATGCATATTAGCATAGGCAACAAAATAAGTAATTTTTGTCTTTAGAAAAGGGTTAGATGATTTTAAAACTTGGTTTCTGTTATCAGAACTGAGAAACATTAATGAGGAAGTGATTTTGTTGTAGACAGAAATTGCACTTCTATTCAGCATTTGGGAAAAAAGAAAAAGCCCTAGCAGGTTGCTGATCTGCTGGTGAACCCCTTTCTGGTTGTTCAGGGATTCTAGTTAGTTTTAGGGAATATTTATTGCATTTAGTCCAAGAACTTTTAAATAGGAATTTAGGAGTATTGGAATGATGGATTAGTTCTGTAATAGTAGCTAACATCTATTTAATCACACTGAAGATTGGAAGATTGGAGAAAGTAAATCCTTTGTTATATGTAATTTACAGTCTCATGCATGAATTGTTGACTTAAGGGCTTTGACAGATGGGACAAAGGAAAAAAAAGGCGGAACTGAGCAGTGGGTGCTTAGGCAGGGATTAAGAGGATTGGTTGGGAGAGTAAGAAAATCCTGAGTCCAGTGACTGCATATGTGAGCCTGGGAGGCTGAAAGTGACTGAGAGGATAGTCATATTGTGTGCTATGGGAAGGATTTTCTTGGGATTGAGGAGAATAATTTAGCAATGACCCTGCTTACCTCCCAATCCGCTCAGCATGCGAGTTCAAGTAGGTAGGCTGCTCAGTTGTTTGCCACAAGATGATCAGTGAGGTTTATCTTGATTGCTGATATGGTAAATGGCAATGCCCTGCTTTTCTGGGCAGAGATTTTGTAATCTAGAAATGAACATTTGTAAAGTTATCCTGCTATATTAAAAACGTGGCTCTGTGTCATGTAGGAAGTGGAACCTTTTGTAGTAAAAAATAAACGTGATTGCTGGTTACTCTCCTTTGACTAATTTCCGTAGTCGTAGTTCCTGAAAAGCTTTAATGGTGTTATTAAAGCGCAAGTTCTCTTTACTATAGATGTGTGAAGTTTTGGCTTGTGGGAGATGGAGACTTGATAAGTGAAATACAATTTTAACACGGCTAAGGCAGCAAATGTAGTATGTTCCCTTTAAAAACTGTATACATCTAGATGACAGAAATTTTGAAAATTAATCAACCAAATGATATGGTGTTAGTTCATAATATGCTTTAGTTTATGTTTAAAATATACAGTGCTGAAAATAAATGTTTCATTTTTATTGCTGAAAGAATAGTTTTACATTTTATAATTATGGTGACTATTGAAAAAAGAAGAAAAAGTATCCAGCTTAGGATACAACAGAACAATGCAGGGCATGCAGTTATTTTAGTCATCTAATATGTCAGCATTCAAGAATCTGAACCGATTGTTTAAAAAAAATCTTGTACTTTGTTTCTTTTGTTGCTCACTTCCAACTTTGTCATCTGTCAGAATGCAAAAAAAAATTATCCTTCTATAACCATTGACAGGATAACACAAAAGCTGTCTCCAGGTCGATATTTTGCAGCAATATTTTTAACATACGAACAGTAGTTTTTATAATTTCACCTTGGTGCTCAACCATTTATTATCGTATCAGAAGCATGTCAGTAATTCCTTTCTAAATGTCTGCTTCTTTTAGTGCTGAGACCCACATCAAGGGCTTCACACTGAACAGTGCTGCCAGCAGCCTCCTCATCATATCGCAAGTTAGGCGGGATTATTTGAAAGGTATGTCACAATGCTTGACCTTTACGTCACATTAATGCCTCTGCAGATTTTTCTTGTAACGCCCTTCGAATACTTGGATAAAGGAGTCCATTTAGCAAATTACCTGCTTATCAAGAGCCTTTTGTGGTAGCTGAGAGACGTAAATTACTGTACATGCATTTATAATACAGCTTGAATATGAATGTACTTGTCATTTGACCACTTAGTCCAGTTTCCATTCCATTTAACACAAGATGGGTTTTCTTAAGATGAATCACAGCTCTTCAGACATGCAAAATTTGTGCTCCAGAACGAGAGAAAGTACAGGCTTTCAAGTGCGTTAAAATTCACAGCACAAGTCATTTTGCTTTGGAAATTAACATACTTTAGAGCATCTGAAACAATTCCCAGCAGTTGTTTCTTGCATATTGTGGTGCTTGTGTGAGATACCAGATAAGTTAAATTGAGTGTTAAATGTGCAGGATTGTGCGCTAAATGATTATAATATTGATTTAAAAACTTAATCAAATACTTTTTAATAGTTCTCAATACCAACAATAACAATTATATTCTTTTTTTTAAACTATAATCATAATGATAGTAATGGCAGATGAAGAGTGTCAAAGGGTAGAACAAGATGGTGGCCAAACTTTTTTGTTGTGCTACTTTAGTTCTCAGCATCAGTTGTTTTGCAGTCTTTAGTTCTATGGTCCTACATTTTACCTACTTGTTCAATTCTTCTGTAGAACTCTTGTGAGAGGAAAACTGCAAGCTCATAGTTTCACATGTAGCATTACAACTTTTATCTCTGTACAAATACAAGTACAGAATGTTGATACATATTTTCAGCAATTTCTTTAAAAGTTTTAAATGTTCCTTTAAAAGGAACTGCATCTGAATAAAAGGTATTAAACCGAATTAAACCTCATAAGAGAGAGCAGGGAAAAAATCATTTTTGATCTTGCTATTAATTAATTTTAATTTATTCCTGTGCAGTTATGATAGTGTATTCCCATGTAATATCAGCTACATTAAAATATTCTGACAAGCATTTAGGTATATCTTCTCGCTTGCATTCTTTCCTGCAGCTGATAAACTTGTCTTTCAAATTCCTTCCCCATTCAGTCTCCAGTCTGATGTCACTTCCAGGTATTGGAACTGAAGTAGACTGAATTAGACTGAAGTATTTGTGGGGAATGCAGTTGCTTCTCTTGCTGCTGTCAAGTCCTCACGTTTTGCAGCTTTCAAGTCCTCTGCCTGACAGTCCTGTTTGATTCTATTCTAATCAACCTTCTGCTTTTTCCTCTGTTTCCTCTGTCCGATATGACACTAAAATGTGAATTCCTCCCAAATACTACAGCTAAAAATTCTCTTCAGAACATTACCGATATTTTTGTATTCTGGCAATCTCTATCTATGACCCTTTTTAACCAGCATCCTAGATGTCAGCCTACCTCAACCCTGTCCAGAGGCTACTCTAAAAATGTTACTTTTTGCACAAGGCAAAGTTTCTCAATAAGTGTCTTGAATTACGTGGGTTTGTACTGTTTCTTTGATGTTTGTGCATTGACATTGAGCAGACTTCTCTTTCATAGTTAAATTGAATACCCAGAATGATCCTTGTTTCTATTTTCACATTAAAGAGGCTGCTTCTCTTTTTGAAAATGACTCCCTGAAAATGTATATGGGAAGCCACTATTTGTCTCAACCGTCAGGGTCATTTTCTGATGCCCATCAGTTACCTAGAAAATTTTAAGGAAAACTTTTTGTTTGTTTGTTTTTTCTCATCTTACACTGATGCTTTCTGTTTGGCCTGCATCCTGTGACACCAAACAGACCTCACAAGCTCTCACTTCTGCAAAACTTGTCTGCTCTGCCAAATCCTTCTGTAGTTTGCCATCATTCTTTGCTGTGTAGCATGCTACACAGTTACATAAGGAACAGCATAAACCTTTGTATCCTCAAAGGAACTCTAATACCTTATAGCAAAAACTCAGTTAAAAACAGATTATGTGAAGAGTGAAATTTTGAGTTTTGTGGTTTGGAATTTGCAGACATTGTAGGTAAGCCTTTTAAGAGGAAAAAACATTAGGTTTTCACAAGCCCGTAGTTACCTGCTCTTAGCCGTTGAAATATAATGGGGTTAAGTTATGGACTTGCCCTAGAAGTAAGGAGTGCTTTTTGGCATTTTTACATAAGCACATAAGGACACCAGCAGAATATCTGGCATGCTACCTGTGGGTAGTTTCGTGCAGTAGTGCTGCATGCATCTGGCTTCTGACTCTATCCTTCGTTATAGAGAAAGCCAGTCGTGTTGTGCTGAGGTCCCTGCTCGTGATCAGGAAGGAATTGGAAATTAGCATGTGTTTAAGTTTGGGGTTTCTTTTAGATTCTGGGAAACTTGCCTTTTTTCTTCTCCCCCCCCCCCCCCCTTTTTTTTTTCCTCCTAAACAATAAAAAAAAAAAAACAGAGGGCAAAGAGGAAATTTGCTGTGAAGATTAGGTATACAGGATGTTTTTTCTTCCAACCTTTCCCCTCTTTCTCCTGTACAAGGTAATACTTGGTTTCTTTAATACCTGCATATTGAATTTGAATGTTAATGCTGTGGAGCTCAAGTGGGTGTATATTATGTTGGAAGTGTTATCCCTTGGTATTATAATTATTATCTGTGATTAATCCTGCCTGTGCTGGTAAGGAGTGAGAGGTTTTTACCAGAGGGGCTTGCCTTTATGTATGCGTGTTTGCTCACGTATAATGTCAACTGACAAGAATCTTAGTTAAAGGAATGAGAGTGACTGTATCTGCATTGGATTTGGGGAGTTTGTGGCGAGCAAGTTATTCTGTGGTTTTAACATAGGCAATTGCTGCCATTTAAAATGGTTTCTGTGATAATTGTCCAGTTTTTGACTTGTTTATTTTCATTTTTATATGGAGACATATGCACCACATATGCATTATGTGGTTTAATTTAATATTAAGTGTTGGTAAATAAACTTTTGAACATTTAGGATGTCAAATCTGAATATTAGGCTTCTGCATTTTAGATAATGAATTAAACATTAAACAAAATCTTTGTTCTCAAATATGTCATGCCTTTGGTGTCCAAAAGAAAATTCTTTATAGCTTGTTTTGATGAAAAAAATAGACTGAAAATGTGATGGCTGTAACTAAGGGTGTAGGGAGGGCATTTATAACAGAGCTGCTTCCTTTGAACTGCATATTAAAATAAAATAATTACGTCTTGAATGTCCCTTAATACTCTTTAGTAAGCAAATATCAAATGATTTTATCCGAAATTCCTGTTGGAAAGTTTTATATATACATGCTATAGTTCACTATATCTACGTTATAGTTCACTATAGCAATTTTGGAGCAAAACTTGACCTAATAAATTATTTTCTGTATGTATTTTCACATAGCAGGTAAGGGGAAATAATATCAGCAGTAAGATCAGCATCTGAAATAAAATCTGAATTCCTTTTCCTCTCTTTTCTTCTCTACTAGATGCCATGGCTGTTTTAAAAGGAATGCTCGACAGTGGCCTGCTGCCTTCTAGACTAGCTACTTCAAGGCTTGTTCAGGCTCTGGCAATGAAAGGGGATCTGAAGAACCTACAGGCACTTGAAGGCATGCTGGAAGGCATCACAAAATCAATTGGTTTATCTCCCTCACTAATCATAAATTCCATTGCACTGGCTTATGTTAAGAAGTAAGTTGTTCCTAGGGCTGGTGTACGTTTCCTTCAGTCAGAGCGGCTGGAAGTTGCTTCACAAGATGATGCAATGGTTGATGTTGGAAGGAACCTCTGGACGTTACCTAGTCCAGTCCTCCCCTCAAGCAGGGTCACACAGAGCACGTTGTCCAGGATGGTGTCCAGGTGGCTCCTCCAAGGAAGGAGACTCCCCAGCCTTGCCGGGTAACCTGTTCCAGTGCTCAGTTACTCCCATAGTAAAGAAGACTTCCCCTCCGACACGCAGCCTTCTCTTGTCCAGGCTGAGCAATCCCAGCTCTTCCAGCCTTTCCTCCTGTGAGAGGTCCTCCAGTCCTTTAATCAACTTAGCCCCTCCTGCTGGACTCACTGCACGAGACTCCTTCTCTCTCGTGTGCAGAGGAGCCCAGAACTGGAGAAGGGGTTCGGGATGCAGACTCAGCTGGGCTGCCAGGCCTCCCTCAGCCTGCTGCCAGTGCTCTTCTAAGGTGACCCCTGGCACCACAGGCCTTCCCGGCCCCAAGGGCACAGTGCTGGCTCTTGGTCATCCTGCTGTCCACCAGAACCCCCAGGTCCCACTGGCAGTGGCTCACCCTGTGCATGGGTTTTTCCTCCCTGGGGAAGGACCCTGCACTTGCCTTTCTGAAACCTCATGAGGTTCCTCTTTATGTTACCTGCTTCATTACCTTTCTCTTCTTAGTGTCTTAGATGCTGAAATTCTGCCGCTGGACTTGAAGTTCCTGTCTGGTCTTGTTCCACAAACATAGTTGTGGTTAAAAATCATTTAACAAAATACAGAGGTGGCTGTGAAGCAATAGGAATAGCAGTAACTCCGCAGTAACTTAGTTTTCATACTGTTCATACTTAGTTTCATACTCTCTTTCTACTATGTTATACCTCATGCAAAGTGTTCTCTTTCATGTTAGATGAAAAATCTTAATGTTGAATTCAATGACTTTGTCAATTTAATTTTACAAATCTCAGAATTTAGTATGTGTCTGTTGCAAATATAATGTTAGATTTAAAACAACTTTAAAACTATTTAAGCAGTCAAAATGTTACAATGATTGTGTTTTTATCCTCAAAAGGTGCAAGCCATCCAGTGTGTCTGTGATCTGGGGGATGATTTTATAATTCTTATCAGTAGAAACATACTTGAAAGCAAAATGTTTGCCAGAGTTCCCATCATGATAATTTTCCCTGCACTTGGATATGAAACAAAACATTTGAAAAAAGGATATTACCGTTGGCCCAGCATTTTTACTGATATCATGGTTCTGTGCTACTTACTACGCTACTCTGTCCTAGTTTAACCTTTGTATAAAACTGAAGTGGGTGCCCTGCTGGCACAAAGGGTATAGTGAACTTCTCAAATATACTTTGCAGGAAGTAACTATATCTATATATGTATGTATGTATATTTTCAAGTCAGTTACATGAGGTTGAACGTGTCTACCAAATTCAGCAGAAAAGCTATAGAGCTGTATATTCCAAACAGATATTTGGCTGCCTCTAGCAATCAGTCTCCAAATCAGAGAGTACCCACTGAAGTGTCTGTAACAGCAAGACAACTTTAAATTGAGAGGGAGCCGTGCAGACCAGTTCCAGCAGTTGAGCTCACTATATTGTCACTGAAAAACAATCAGTTCGTAAAGGACTGATCTTGTAAATGCTGAGATCTGAGTGGGCCTTGGCTCGTAATTCTAGCGAATTGACTTTTGCCTAAATTAAAACCACAAATAAGGGAGGTTCTTCAGGATTAGTCTCAAAAGCTGCATATTTTCCTGTATTTCCATGTCATGAAAGCTTTTCAAAGTCGAGATGTGTTCTTAACTTGAATCAGGTTGGCTACAAAAATGAATAAACTGGTGTATGCAGACTATATTACTTAAGCATCATTAGTTCTTTTACCATATTAAAACTAGCTTTCCTGTATGAAAAGATTTAGCAGCAGCATCAGATATGATACTTTCTCCTCTGAAAATATCTGTTCTTAAATGCCTTGCAAGCTCTACTTTGAAAACTGTGAAAAATCCGTTTACAGATATTTTTAATGCCCATCGATTTATTGGTAGGCTTGTATTTCTCAAATAGCTTTTCACAGCATCTTCTGTATCTTTCTAATACACTGCATTTCTGTTTCTCCTAAAAACTTCTATCATATTCTATTTTTTAATTAAATTTTTAGAGGGGACTGGTAAAAGAGGTCATTTGAACGTTTTGGACACTACAGAAGTAGATTTAACACTTCAATGAATCCTTTGTGACTTATTTTATTAGCATTTATTGTGCTAACTCCATACATTAGTAGTGCGTGTGTATAGGCAAAGGTACCAACCAAATGACATTTAGGATCATCTTTTGCATCCAAAAAGACAGGCATGGAAATTCAGGTAAATAATTAATTGAATAACATTAAAAAATACTTCAGTTGTCTGCATTAATTATTCAAATACATTCTGTTAATGTTTTGAGTTTTACCTTCTGGTTTTGCAGAACACATTTATTTTCTAAGCAGCTAGACAGTGCTCATCTCTTAATAAGAAGGTTTTTCTAAAAAGGATGGGAATTCAGAAATTCTTAGGTATTTTTACAGGTCACAGGTCATTCAAAAAAATGATTTGCAGGTTAATTTATTTCTTCATCCATAATTGGTTTAACTGTGCTACAGTAAATAAATGAAGGAAATAGTAGGTACTTAGCTATTGCTAGGAAGCACTGCATTAATGTAGCAGATAAACTTTGATATGGCTGCTGTTTAAGGTGTAGAAATCTTAAGGTCAAAAACTGAATGCATGACATTTTTTTTTTTTTCTCCCTAGCAATGACCTCGATGCTGCGTTGAAATACACTGAGCCTCTGCTTATCTCCAGTGCACAGAATTCTGATCAAGCCAACAGGAATATCTCCTATTTGTTAAGGATGTTGTCTGAGGAGAAATTAGAGCCAGCTTTGGAAAAATGTAAGTTAATTGCAGTGATATTTAAATACTATGACTAGGCAGAGATGTTATGAAAAAGCTATTGCATATAAAACTTGCTAAGTCAGCAAAAGTCATGCCAGTGAAGTTTGCAAATGTGACTTTTCAGTCACTTTTTCCTCCTGTCCTTTTTACAGTTGTCGCCATGGCAGAACGATTAGCCAGTGAATTTGGGATTTACAGGCCTATCGCAGATCTCTTCCTTCAGTACGTGGACTCGGGTAGAGTGCAGGACGCCCGATCACTACTAGAGGTAATGAGAGAGCAAGAGGCAGAGAACTGCTTAAAGCTGCTCAGAAGCAAACGGAGAAGTTACCCCAAAGAGGTGTCAGTGCAGCGCGTAGCGCTGGCCACTTGTGCTTTAGCATCGCAGGGCGAGGGGCAGTGACTGCTGAGGCTGTCGGGAACTGCAGCCAGTGCCCTAGGATAGGGAGCAGGAGCGGGTGCTGGGGCGGGAACACTTTGTTTTCTACCAAACTGGGAAGTAGCCTGGGGCCAAGGAAGGAGAACCTGGGCATTTCTTGAAATTGCATGCAAAGGCGATATTCATTTATAGATTTTTCTGTTACAGTTGTCATTTCTTGCAAACCATCTCGTTTTACTTTCTCACCTAATTCCTTCATTGCTGTAATGTAATACATCCCTTACACGTGAACAGACCAGAAGGGGCAACGTTGGGTTTTCACGGGTGTTACTACAAGTGGTCGCAAAAACACAGCACACACTGTATTCCGGGCTCATTAAGAGCTGAATTTCATTTCTACCCGTGCATTAAAAGCCGCCGTGGCGGCGCCGAGCGCCAAGGCCGTATGAGGCGGCGGACGCCGCGGTCACCTGCCCACTGCCAAGCGTTTCCAGCCGTTGAAGGAAAGCCTCTGCTCTCTCTGATATTCCCAGGCTTTTTACTCCTAAAGAACAACAGATCAAGAAGTGTTAATGCTGTAGAGTGAGGTCTCCTCTTTGTATATTGACTTCTCGGACTATTCCCTTGCTTATGGTTTTGCCTCACTGGTTGTCATTAATTTAAAAGGAGATTATGATTTTTAATACAAAAAGCATTCTGCGTAAGCAAAGCCTCTTCCTATACTAGTGACAGTGGGAAATATCAAAAGGAGAAAAATTCTCAGGCTATCTTACTCTTGCTCCTCTTTGATTTCTCTTTGATTAGATAACAAAAATGAGGGTGGTAGTTTGTTTGTTTGTTTTTTTCTTTTTTTTTTCTTTTTTTCTTCTTGGCATTTTTTTTTTTTTTACCTACAAGCCGCACGTGTTCTTCTTTTAAGAAAAAAATTATTTCAATTGATATATTTTAAAACCTTTTATTAGTACAGAATCCAATGTTGGACAGATACTTCAGTTCATGGCTCTGTAGTATACTTGAAATAATATTGCATGCATATATCTCAGAGGAAGATTCTAAAAATATTTCATGGTCATTGGAAATAAAGAGTTAATTGACTTGAAATTAGTTCGTGTGAGGAAATAAAATTTTAATTCTGTAGGCGGGGGAAAGGCTTGTTTTAAACAATCTTTACCTTTATTTGTGGATCAAGCATTGCACTAGCCAATAGCACAAAGTAGCCATTGCTGCACAGTAACAATGGAGCAAGAGCTTTTGACTTCCCTCATTTCCTTCGGACAATGTACCACAGATTTGATTCAAAACATATTATGGGTATAAATTAAAGCAGGAAGTTCCCTTCCATGTGAGGAAGAACTTCTTTCCTCTGAGGGTGACAGAGCCCTGGAACAGGCTGCCCAGAGAGGCTGTGGAGTCTCCTTCCTTCTCTGGAGATCTTCCAAACCCACCTGGATGCCACCCTGTGCCACGTGCTCTGGGTGTCCCTGCTGGAGCAGGGGGGTTGGACTTAGATGATCTCTAGAGGTCCCTTCCAACCTCAACCATTCTGTGAAACAAAACTCTCTTGTCTATGACTGTTTAAAATACCAATTGACTGTAAGTAAATTTATGGTACAGGTAATTCTGGGTATGCACAGGGTTCTGTTCTGCGTGAGCCTTTGGGCACTCATGCACTGTCCTACAGCTTATAAAAAACACTGTGCATTGCCACAGTTTTAAGCCTGACATCTTTGAGAAGCATAAACTAAAATATTGTCTACTTTATATTGCTCTAGCTTCTAAAATAAGACAGATTTTTGATTTATCTGGTCTGTCTCAAACTTTAAGTTCAACTTTTCTTTTTCTCTCTCAAACACTGTCTGTTGCAGTGAAAGCCTTTTATAAAATAGAGAGATTGAAATCAGTCCTTTGTATGCATAAGTGTAGGTAATTATACTTTAAAGAGAACTTGCTTTGTACATTTTAATTTTTATAAAGAAACGAGCAGTTATCTCCCTGACACCTTATTAAATGTATAATTAACCTTATGATCCCTAGCTCACTTGTGAATGCTTGGCAGTATAATTGGAGAGGAACAGTGTTTCTCTTTTTCATTCTTTTGCAGTCCTAAACCTCGTTTTTCTAGTATGTTGAAGTATTAGTTTAATTCTTTCCCCTTTTGTTTTAAACAAACTTTATATCTACCATTCCAAAAACAATATTTATCAAAAGTGGTCAAGAAATGGACTTGTTTTCCATGTTTCGTTTTTCTGTGTGTGCATTTTTTTTAATGGTCAATTATTTCTTTTATAAAGTAATAATATAGTTATGACTAACGCATATTACTATATTTTTGTATATCTCTACAATAGCATATTTTCTCCTTAGTCATTTTTCTTAATAAGAATGTGCTCTTGTCTGTTATGTTAATAATTTCTTTTTCTTCAGAGATGTGGTGCATTAGTTGGGGAGAAGAAAGCCATAGTGAATTTTATGGCTAAATCATCCTCTAAACAAGGACAGGTATAGTATTTTTTGCATATCCGTCACTGAATATGTAAAAACATCCTACTTAATCAGTTTTTATTGAAATATTTTTGGATCTCTAACTTCAAAATGTTTTCATGTTCCCAGTTTGACAGTGGTGTTTTTTTATTTTTGATGTGGTACTTTAGATCCCACAAGTGTCACACTTCTTTATTTATAGCACTAGCTAGTTCAGTATGGGAATTCATCTTGAATATTTTGGTTTTTTTCAGCTGCAGTGTATGAATATAAATGTAAGTTAGGCATTTTCTAAAGAAAAAATGCCTTGGTGCTTACTAGATGCTTATTAGAAGACATATTTGGTGTTACTTGCTATGGAGATTTGGACATGAATCTAGTTTGAGGATATGTTCAGATTTCTGTCTTCTTGCTCTTTCCCCATAGTTCACATATTCCCATTTCTGTGCCTGTACCCCTAACATGTAAGGAAAAAATTATTTTCTCTCATGGAAGAGCAGCCCTGGATTATACAAACCCCTGGATCTATACAAAACCAGAGTGAATACTTTCTAAATGATTAAATTTATACATATTGAGAAAGTTGCTGTTAACAAATATTTATAGATAAATTCCACTGCAAAAGTATTGACTAGTATTTAATGATGTTATTAATTTCTGTAGCTTTTTTGATTGTTTTGTTTTGTTTTTTTTAGTTCAAGGCCTTTTTTTTAACCTAGGGCATGGTGGAAGGAGAGAGAGAGATGAGTGCTCCAAATTTAAGCACTCCAAATTAAGTTTAATTAGTTATCTGGCTGTTTTTGGGCATCATCATCAGCCACTATTAAGTCAGTGAAGCTGTTGCTTGATCTGCCTTATTTAATTGTTGAAACTCTTACATATTGTCCTAGCTAGGCAGATCACTCCCTTCAAAAAATGGAGATAGTAACTTCTAGATTCTTTTTCATGGAGATTTTAGTCCCTTGTCTCCCCATCATTTCCTTCCTTATCCCCATTATTTATTTACTTTATTTCATTTTGCGCCCAATTTCTTTTGTTTCTTACCTGCATGTGACTTCTACACTCAGTTGAACAATCCACTACATGTAAATGTCTTTTAAAGAGTCTGAAATAATTCTGATGTTGGCAATTCTAGTTGGTTTGTTAAGATTTGAAGTTAATACTCTTTCTGTCTGTGCGTTTAATCTCGTAGGCCAAGAAGATAGAGACCCTTCTAGAGCTGATTCCTGATCATCTAGACCTGGCAGTTGCATACCGCTACCTCATAAAATGTCATGGTAACTTACTGTTTTGCAGTAATTTTGGCGGGGGGGGAGTGTTGTTTTGTTTTGTTTGTTTTTTGTACGAGCCAAATCTTAATGCCTTTGAAATGGAAACCCTCGGAGCAACAGTAGAATCTATTCTGCAAGTTGTAGCTTGTTTTACAGTTTGAGCTACAAAGAGGTGGAGTTTTGTTTGACTGGATGTTTCTTTGGCGGGTTTAAGTTTTTGTTGGGCCTCTGTGCCATGCTAGCTCTCAGGCTGGGAAACTAACCAATAGATTCAAGCCTGAATCCTTTACTAAATAAGATGTACTAAAGGATAGTGCCACAGCAGAGGCTAGTTAGTGACTTCTTTGGAATGGAAAAGAATCCATCCTAACTTATGGAGAGAATTACATGACAAATCTTCTGAAATGAAAGTGTTTGCAAATGAACCCGGGGTGTGTTTTTTGTTTTGTTTTTGAAACATGTAATATGTGTCTTCATTCCTTTTACATGTGCCCAGATTATCATTAGTTCTATCAGTAGCATGCCAGGACATTATTTTTGTTGGTGTGGATTCTTTATACCTGCGTTAATTTGGCTAAAATTAATATTCTAGCTGACTTCATTTGGGTTTCGCTAAGCAATTGATTGGAAGTGCTAATCACTTCTGTTTATGTGGAAGTCGGAAGGGAACTGCCCTGAGAAATGAAATGCCTTATTTAAATATGTCTATTTACAACACCCACCTTGGAGAAACCAGGACGTACGTACCCTCTGGCAACGCACAACGGGACGCTGGCATCTGCGTGCCTCGGTGTCCTTAGCCTTGTGTGCTCTGACATGGATCTCTGGCACCGGGGTTTATTTACAGGGAGGAAACGTAATCCTCGCGTGCGTGTATTACAGGCGGGAAGATAAAATGACAGAAGTCTTCATGCTCTAATATACTGCAGGGAGATAAATCGGAATATTTTAGTAAAACACTTCTGAAGCAAGCCCAGTGGCTTTGACCTTCTTCAGCTTATCCAAGTAGCGTGTTAAAGGAGTACAAATTTTCATGTATTTAAATTAACTTGTACAAGTTATCTTAGGATGTTATATCTGACTTTAAAAACTCAGTTGCGTAGTAATGTTCAAAACAGCAATTGCTAGCAACATATTTTAGCTCTGTAGCTTCACTCAGAGAGGAAGTTTTCTACCACGTCATTATTAAGTACGTTATTGTCACAAGACGTTATGTCCTGTTTTACACATCACTGGCCCCTTAGGGCCTTCACCTGAGCAAACGCTCGCGTGAGCGGACGGCGTTTCTTGGCGAAACCGGAGGAGCCCGTCCAGCGCCGGGAGCTGCCGCGGCGACGTGCGCCGAGCGGGGCCGAGATCCCAGCTGGCTGCACAGGAGGCGCCCGGCGCCGGCACGGAAGGTTCCGGAAAGCCGTGCCCAGCTCAGTCCCAAAACGCGTCTGCGTGAACCACGTTGCACTCGGGGATCAGGCGGGAGAGCGCGGATCAGGGACTGGGCACGCTCTAGCAGGGCTTGCTTGGCTAGGCAGGATGCTACAGGTGCATCTTCCAGGGCATCTTTCTGCTTTAGGAAGGAAGGTGGTGTCCTACTGTTCAGTATCTGGTGGCGAAGTCAAGTCTAGCTTCTAGAGAAAGGAGCTATCATGCCAAATCTCATTTGTGCAGTCTGTTAAACACAGTCTATTAGCTCTCTTTTTGTTGTTTTTCATACAATAAATACTTCTATTTGAAACCAAATGGGAAGTTAATCATTTCTTTTTAGAGTTTCATTAAACTGTCATTTCATGAAGGTTCTATAGCCTCCCACATTGCAAAAGTAGCTCACCCAATTTCCAGATGTGAGTGGGAAGCCTTTTCTCTTGAGAAGGGGACCCAAGCTATCTATTTCTGCATAATTAAAGCTCCCCCCGCCCTTTTTTTCTTTTTCCCTTTTTTTTTTTTTCCACCTCTCAAGCACCACTACTTTTGTAGCCCTTATGCTTGTGAATAACTTTCTAAATATGAACAAATGCAACCTCTAGTATGACAGGTTATTTCCAATCTACATTAGTGTTTGGTTTTTTATCATTTGCAGTGGAAAGAACTTTATGGCTCTGCATCCCAAATGCTGCGAGTGTTGTGGCTGTGCTGCTCCTGCTCCAGTGGGTCCAGCACATTCCCAAGGAAGGGCTCAGCAGCGTCCAAGCCAAAGGGAAAGCTGAAGGGGCTTCATGTGTGAATCATCCATAGCCCTTTAAGAATATGTCTTTGGAAATAATGGGAAAGGGTGACATCATGAAAACATGTGACAAGCAACTTTAACCATTTTTGCGTTGTCATTTTATCTTTGTCGTTTCCCCCCTCAGAATCAGATGGAGATGTTGCTTCTCTAAAGGCTGTGTATGAGAAAACGAAAGAAAAGAACATACAGCTTAATGAGATCTCTCTGAAATCCATAGCAGCTTTTCTGAAAAATGCAGGCGAATCTGTCCCTTTCACTGAGCCCCCTGTGAGTATTTCCTAATTAAGAAATAGATCTGCAGAATTGTATATATTTCATATTAATATAATCAGTTGTGTAAGCGGGGTAAATCTCTGCAGAGACTCCTCAAAGGAGGTAATGTTTGAAATGGGTACATAGTGTGGTAGGAAATATGGGATTGGGAAAATAGGAACTTACTGTTTTTCAAGTATCTGATCTTAATCAGGCCCTCATCTACAAGCAGGTGTTTATCAAGTGTCCTTTGGACATTTATCTCAGCGGTTAAAAACCTCAAAAGGTTCCTTGTTTAATGGGTTTTAGTTTTTGGTAGTTAGCTGTTTTGTATCTCAAAAGCTTTTGTGCTGGTATGATGGAGTTGCACAGGATTTTTTTTTCCATTGCAGCTTCCTTTCTAGCTGCTTTGCTCACAGAGGCAGGCAACTGTGCACATGTCTGTTATCTGAAGGTGACAAGTGGCATGACACTGAGTCTGTCAAGCCTGCAACTACTTCTTTGACATCATTGCTTTGGCTACCAGACTGCTAGTACCATTTTAGCTGGGCTTTAGAGAGTTACATTTTCTCTCTGCCAGCAAATTTTTTATTGCCATTTGCCAGCCTCCTTTGACATTTTGAAATAAGCACTTCTCTGCTGTTTTCTAAGGACTTGAGTTATAGGTGTTTTCTCCATATGGCAAGTGTGATTTTAAAGTGGAGATGTTTCCCTTTTCTAAGCAACAAATACATTTGTGATAAAATGTGACAAATGTGACTTCTTTTGAAATTTTGAAAAAAGGGAAGAAATGTTGCCTCAAAATGTTTGTGTTAGCCTGTTACCAGCTGCAGAGGATTTTTCCCTGAAATTGTGATATAATTCCTAACACAAATTTCATTTGAACTGTGTAAAATTAAATCCTAGAATGTCCCTTTCCTACGTGTAGTTAGTGAAAATAGATTTTTTTCAAAGTCACTGTAATGATTCATCAGGTGTACCTGTTCAGTTGTTTCTTTAATACAACTTGATTTTTAAAAGCATCTTATACTTTTTTTTTTTCCCCACCCCCTACGGAATTGCTGATTGCAGTTAAGAAGTATTTTCATTTTTTAAATGAAACTGATTATATTATCGCATTTTGTAATAGATGCTTCTTCATTATGCATTTTTGGCAAGGTTTTCTCTTTGCCTTTTATTCTCCTCCCCTGGTATTTCTCTTAATTATACAGACTTCAATACGGATGTAGTTTTTAATGACAGAGAATAATAGATTTTCCTTTTGTCAGGATTATACGACTTTGTTGAGAATTAGTAACTTTTCAGTTCAAACAACGTTCAACTTGTTTATTCCACTTTTCTATTTATAGGAGTCCTTCAAATTCTATGTGGAAAAATTGAGGAAAAGCAGAGCTGAAGCATCATGAACAAATATTCTTTTATTTAGTTTATGAAATTGTTTAAATATCACATTCAATAAAAATTTTAAAAAGCATGTTGTTCTGTGTAATTTTTAAGATAAATATTGTGTTTAAACAGCACTCTCCTTAGCTGCAACTAGTAGAAACATTCATTAATAGAAAAGCTTTTCTCCTGTTAAAATTGCTAGCGAAATATTGAGCTGCAGCTTTCTAGGCAATTCTTCTTTTTTGATGTTTGACCTGCTGTGACCTGAATTGTACTCTGACTTCTGCTGCTTCATTAAATGTATGTATATATGAAGGAAGAAAGTTGCTGGGGCCATTTGTACCTGTGGCTTAGCCGACTGTCCTGTCGTGCTTCGTTCCTTCTGCAATCGGTGTACTTTGGGGTGCAAAGAACAGCTTTATCAAGATTCAGCTGTACTTACTGAGAAAAAATAAAGACATCTTTTGGCTAGAACTCTCCTACGTGTGCTTGTGCGTGAAATATATGTGGTTGGGGCTTAAAAAAAAAAAGTTGTTTGTACCTTTTCTCTAAACCCATAAAGTTTATCAGCCCATGTCTGTGGGGTCCTTAAAATACTCTGGTGGGTGACTTTAGATGAAAGGGTACCAAGAAAGCCTGTCCCTTAGCGTGTGCCTGCTACGACCGCCCGCGGATCTGTGTGTCCGTACGGCCACTGGAATAAAGCACCAGTGCAATAGCTGGGACATGTTGTGATGTTGGAATGTGGCGCCCCACATTAAGGCTCCCGTGAAAATTTACCTGGGAGCGTTTAACTTTGTGGGTGTTTTCCATTGGTTTTGTTTGTGATTTTAATTAATTTGTTTGTTTTTTTTCCCTATATAAGCAAGCCTATGTAAGGAAGAAATTGGGGATCAGTTTTTTCAGTAAAAATTTCACTTAAATTAGCAGATATACCTATAAATGCAAATATATAAATAAATCTTGTGCTCAAAAAATGAAGCAAAAGGGAATGATAGGGGCAAAAGGGAGGATAATTTTTTTTCCCAAGCAGACATTGTGCTCAAAAAATGAAGCAAAAGGGAGGATAATTTTTTTTCCCCAAGCAGACTGGGTAAATCACAGTTACGAGCTGTCAACTGCATTGGTGCTGTGGCTTTATGATATCCTTAATCATTAGACTGCACCTTTTTTCTATCATTTCTATTTTTGTTTTGCCGTGTTTTGTCTTTTCTATTGGGTTTGGTGGGGAGAATCTTTGGTTTTGGAGTTCATTTAGTAAGAGCAGTCTTGCGAGGACACCCCTGTAATCCAGAATGGGGTGGGAAGAGATTAAAAGTCCTGCACTATGAATGTAAATGTCTTTACATGGGAACAAGAAAATACACACTAGATAATATCCTGTAGCTATGTGGTTCTCGCTGTCTTGCACCTATTGTCCTGTATAGCCATGATCAAGGCATTAACTGTGGAAATTTCATTCATAGCCTAATGGCTGCATGCCCTATCTGAAAGCAAGACCGAGCGCTAGTCAGTTAATTTCATTTGAGAACGGAGATGTTTCCCTTTCCCAAGCTGCAGCTACGTTAAATGTGTTTCAGTGTAATAGCAGCATAATTGAGCGCTGTGTCAACCCGCTCGCAGCCCCTTCTGTGGTGCCACCGCTCCCGGTAGGAGAGGTCATCTTGTGCGTCTCTCAATTTCACCACGAGAGCTTGTGTCTAAGTGGAGTCAAACCTGAGCGCCAGCGGGGCCGAGAGGCCGCCCGCGCGGCCTGCTGGCGCCGTGCGCCGGACTAGCCCTGGGAGGGAGAGCGCTGGGTGCTACCTGCGCGTGCCAAGTCCTCCCCGGGGAAGGTGGGGGCCGCGCTCTGTAGGTCTGATCCAGCTTTGCTGGAAGAGCCCGGTGTGGTGCGGCCCTGTCGCTGCCGGGCCGGTTGTCGCCACAGCGCGGGCAGCGCCACGGCCGGCAGCTGCCTCCACACCGGCACCGGGGAGGCCCAAGGGACAGGGCCTGAAACGTCATCGTGGCAGCAGTGTAGGGGGCAAGGGTCCCTCGGGAGAGGGGAAGGCTGCTGCTGTGCTGTAACGTTCCTCAATTTCTACTCCCATTAAATGTTTCGTGTGCACTTAAGGAATGATTACACAGGGGAATAGAGCCTCTCCTGTCTTTAAAATGTGGGGCAGTGAGGGATTCGTGCCAGCCTGGGACACCGTCATCTCCAGCTGAGCCAATGTTACATGAGGAAGGTTTTGCAGAATCGGCATTTGTGCCACCTCGCCTGTGATAACGCTTGAAGTGGTAAGTTCCTCGTGCGTTGGTGGGCCCTGTGGGACTCGGCCGTTTCAAGCATGAATAAAAACACAATTTCGAAGGCTAATGATTCTTCACCAAGTATGTAGACAGTTTCATTATTTATCTTTTTTATTATTTTTTTTTAAACATCCGAAGTAAGGAACCTGTAAGATGACAAAATGCAGAATGGCAGCCTTGCGAACTTGTCACAGTGATTTATTAGTCCAGATACAGAACTTACTCTGTCATACTGACCAGAGCACTTACCCCTTTAAAACAGAATTATTTGCCGCTGGCTAGTGGGTAGCTGGGATTTAGCAAGATTCAGAACAGGTGTGGTATTCCGTAAGTGTCTAGATAGGAGTGTGCTCTTCCAGAGGCTCCATGGGAAGCTGATGGTGCTGATATGAAATGACCTGACACGATCCTGTAAAAAGCCACTTGTGCGAGCGCGCGCGTGTCCACATAACAGCGTGTCCTGCTTGGGCCGGGGCCCGGCGAAGGCTTCCCGCTCACCTCGAGTCGGCTCCGCGCCTCGCGCCGCGTCACGGACGCTCCTCTTGCCCGCCTGCCCGTGGGCAGCGGGGGAGGTTGCTTTTGGGTTTTTGAGCTCAGTGTAGGAAAAGTTTCCCTGTTAACTACAAATACAGTCATTTCGCGGCATGGTAATTATATGCTGTAGTTTTATCATTATCTACTAAAACAGTTCATTTAGCTCATTGTCTCCTAAGACCCTTTTCTATAGCAAGAAATATAGCTTGGTAGCTTAGTGGCTGTCTTTAGGCTTTCTTAATATTCATCTGCTGTTGAAAAATGAATAGCTGAAGCAGTCGTATCCTTGGTAGTGGCAGCTCGGAAGGTTTTACTGTGGGCGATCGCCTGAGTCAGCACGATCCCACCTGCAGTTCACGGTGACAACTGCGGTGACGGCAGCATCGTAAGAGCCGGTACTGACAGAGGGAGCGTGTCCACCAGGACGTCACGGTCTTCACCGCTCTCCTCAAAGGTGCGACACATCCGGGCTCTCCCAGAACACGGTAGAGGGGGCAGTGACAGGAGTGACGAGGGTGTGAAGAGAGATGTTTTGCTGGTCAGTGACCGTTATGAGAAATCTGTGAGCATCTACAAGGAAAGTGCAACTTTCAGTGTAGTAAAGGTGGAAAATGGCATGAAAAGCCTTTTAGCGAATGTTTCTCTGAAATTTATTAATTTTTTCTCATAATTTCTGCGTAAAGTCAACTGCAAAATTACCATTTCAGAATGGCCACAGCCTCAGCTGGCTTGCTGTGGAAAATGGCATGAAAAGCCTTTTAGTGAATGTCTCTCTGAAATTTATTAAATTTTTCTCATAATTTCAACTGCAAAATTACCGTTTCAGAATGGCCGCAGCCTCAGCTGGCTTGCCAATACTCTAAGAAATCAATAATCAGAGGAAACCCAATATTGTCTAGGGCAGTGGCATCAACTAAGACTGTAACCGAATCCAAGGGTGTCATTCTGAGTCCTAGGATGAGTGTGCAGGTCATCAGCTGCATGAACAATTTTTGGAGTTTTCCATGAGGTGTGGAAATAAGAGCAAATATGGAAGTTGGAGATTTGAGTGCTCTACTGTTTCTTGTATTTATCCAGAAGAGATAATAGAAAATGTCTTGTACAGCACCTACTATAGACAGGGGTTCCACTTTGTTCTGCTTTTAAATAGAACTGCTAGCACCACGTTTCTCCGTGATGCTCTTAAATCTCTGTGTTACAGTGAGTTAATGCTCCACAGTGCGTTGCGTGGCTCATCTTGTGGCACAGGGATAAAGGAAGCATTGCTGTGGTCTGCCACAGCAGCTCCAAACCCTTCTGTAGCGCTCCAGTTGTGATGGTTGTTTTACTCAAGGAGCTATAAATGGGAATGAGCTCCCCTTCCCAGCTCCAGGTCTGGGAAACGGCAAACTGCCAGCCAGGTCTCACAGTGATGGTGATGATTCCTGAAAAGCAGCAACAAATGTAAGGGTTGGTTTTGCCAGTAGGCTGTATCTCCCTTTCTTTACATACACTCCTTGAAAGCAAGGGGAATGTGAAAAGTGGAGTTTTGCTGGCGAGGGTTGTGGGTGGCTGAGATGAGGGCAGGAGATATGGATGGAGCTGGGGCTGTGGGAATGGCCTGGGCTGAAGGGAAACAGTGAGGCTGTCTGGGGGGCAGGAAGGCGATCCTGGCAGCGGGCACGGGGAGCTGCGGGCCTTGCCGAGGGAGGGGAGGCGCGAAAGGCGGTTTTGCCGGGTGCTGGGTTGTTATTTACGGGAGGGGGCTCTGAAGTGTGGTCAGGGTTGCTGTGGCGGAGCTCGAGATGGGCCTGAAGGGCCGGAAAGACGTCCAGAAGCAGCTATGAGAGCTGTTATGTGGGGGCTCAGCTGTGCGGAGGGTAAGGATCCGGAGGCGTCGGGATGACACCTCGGGCCCGGTTGGACTGGGAATGGCAGAATTTAAATTACACGGCCTGAGGAGCTGTGAGGAGACGAGGCCGCCAGGGCCTCCTGGCTCCCGGCCTCTCCTCCAGAACTCTGCCCTAAGGAGCCGGCGGCAGCGGGGAGCTCCGGGCGGGAAGGCCGCTAGCCCCAACGCCAACAACCACGGGGGAGGTCTGTTCCGTCACAGCGTCCTGCGCCTCGCGCTCCTCCAACGGGAAAGCGGCCGCAGGAGCCGGGGCCCCGGCGGAGGCGGCAGGAGCTGCTTGGTGTCGGCAGCGGCACCGTTCCG